TTCTCTTCTCTTCTCTTCTCTTCTCTTCTCTTCTCTTCTCTTCTCTTCTCTTCTCTTCTCTTCTCTTCTCTTCTTGTAAGGGAAAATAGGAGGATTAAACTTTGTTGGCTATGTTCACCACTTGAGTTATTTATAAAAGTAATAAAGGTGGGATACAAATAAAATATAAATTTCTATATCTTTAATGTTTTTAACTACTGAAAATAATTTGTGTAATTGAAGCTGACAAAAGATAGCTATTTTCACGGTAATATTTGTATGGAACAGTTTAGTAATCCAACACAGTGGTCATAGTATGGAAGCAATCCTCAGCTTATTCATGTCATATTCTACATTATGATTACAAAGAATATCAAAACAATGGACTGTGGAGAGTAACAATCATATATCAAATATTGCAATATGTTACTAACCAGTTATAATTTCGATTACAATTTTGGGGAACACAAATATCTTAAAGATGATAATAAGCAGGGTTTCATTGCAATTTCTTTTTTTAAAAAAATACTCCTCTTTACATTTCTTTTACACAGAAATGGCAAAATGCTGACCTTAATGGGAAATTCAAGCTTCCGATGAAAAATGAATTTATTCCTACTAACTTTGAAATTGTATCTTTGGAGAAGGATGCACCACAGTACCCAAATCTAATTAAGGTATATTTGACTTCCATAGTTAATAATAGTGAATGTTATTTAACACTAGTGCTGTACAGCTAGTTCTGAAGTGAATCATCAGCTCTATTCGTTTTCATTAAAGTTTTTAATTTGAATTTCTAATGTAATTTTGAAATTTAGTTCCAGATCAAATTGTACAATCCAGATCAAATTGCACAATGCAGACAACCAGTTTGGTCTACTGATAATGGTACTGAAATAGAGGAGGAAATCCTGAATTCTAATCCTGTCTTATTCATGAAGTCCATCTGAGTGACTTTTGGGCCTGTTACTGTATCTCAGCCCCAAAAAGATAGTGGCAAGCCATTTCTGAAAATGTTCCCAAAAAATCTGTAGACATTTGTCCAGGAAGCAAGTCTGACTTAAAGATTACATATATACATACTGTATATACATGCACATATAAAATCTGTCTCTATGCCTGTGTGTGCATCTGTCTTACTGTATCTATGGTATATATAACAACCTTCATTTTCAAAACTTAAAAAAATGAAAGTTTTCTTTTATTTAAAAGTAAGCCTTCCATAATACTACTTGAATCCTTACTGAAATTAGTTGGGAAAAAGAACAGAAAATAGTTGATCGAACAACCTTTTGAAAGAAAAAGAGGCACGTTAATTTTTTTATACAGCAGTCAGGTTTAAAATGATGTGCTATTAATGGGCATTCATATTAGGTGGTATTTGGCTGACCCTTTACTGCTAATAAATATTCTATTTTAAATAGTGCTACATATGAAATTCAAATGGACAGGAGTGTATAAATTCCCCTTTTAAAGAACAATTTATCTCAATATAATGTGAATCAAATCTCTAATAAATAAACTCTAACCTTATTTAAAATTCACCTATCGTTGTTCCATCACTACCTATTTTCTTTCTCAAAATTATGGTTGGTAAAACAATCAGATTCCATCCCTGTAGATCTTAAGATCTGACTTTTTTTCTATGTAGATACAAATATATGGACAAATGTAATTATACATCGAGGGAATATTTATTTGGTAGTTGGACATATAAGGCACTCGGGTCCTAATAGCTTCTCAGTGGTGGTTATACTCCATATAGCAATCGGATCAAAAACCACATTTAAAAATACAATCCAAAATATCCTGGATGCCACTGGCAATAATTCACATACATACATTCTCCTGCAGGGAGGAACAAGTTAACCTGTTAACCCCCCCCCCCCCTAAGCCAAGCCATCTTGCCTTTTTGAAAATTCAGAAGCATGAGTGCTGTTTTATCTCTGAAGAAATGATGTTTCCAGAGATAGCCACTGTGATGCCCTACTTCATTGAATTTGATGATATTATTCATAAGAGAAAGACCTTAAGCCATAAATCACTAGGTCCCAAAGATACACATATCCCAAGCCATCCCTGAATTGAGGAAATTGGTAAGCAGTACAGTTCTTGATGCTGGGTGTTACCTGAATGAACCAGTTAATCCACATAACTTGCTTCTGCATTCTGACTTCACCTAATAGAGTATGTTGCTATAATTCAGTATAAAGGAAGAATACAAAGAAGTGGGTACTGATAAATTCCTCTATATTCTCATCTAAAGCTTTGACCTGTAACATCATACACTAAAATTGGGCAACATGAGAAAAGGGTTTTACTGAGCCTTACTGGACTTATTCACATTAGGTTATCTAGAGTGAGCTCTGGCTATTTAATAAATAGTAATCAGATTAAAATAATGAGAATAGAGGCTTTTAATGGAAAATGTGCTTTTTCTTAAATGCAGGATACTGCTATGTGCAAATTATGGTTCAAGCAGGATGACAAATTTTTCCTTCCTAAAGCTTGTCTCAACTTTGAATTTTTCAGGTAGGCAAACATGTCTATGTTTATATTTCTTCACATTAAATATGGTAAGTTATATAAATATATATTTAGTAAGGAGAATTTGTGTAATTTGGAACCCCCATAGAATTGCTTTCTTTGTATAACCAAAATTTGCCTATCGATACCTTCTGCCTCAAATCAGAATTTGATATGTGCAGCCTTTTGCCAGAAGATGAAAACATGATCAAAGAGCTTTTACTTGAAAGCAGAGGTCTGCATTCTGAACCTTTTACTTGAATTCAGAGGTCTGAATATTCTTCTCTCCACTCCCTTCAAAACAGGTCACAATAAGTAATACCCAGATAAAGCTTTTCTGCATATAAAAAATTCATCTTGGATATGTGCATATGAACTTGCTTGCAGATAGAAATAAATGTATCTTTTGTTAGATTTCTTAACAATAGGACAGATGTGTAGCCAATGTGATTATTGCCTTCATTTGGTTTATTGTTTAGAATGTTTTCATCCTCAGAGATGATTCAGAGATTTTTTTCAAGGGATCTTAAATTACTGAACAATGACATGTTGATTGACCATATTATGCAAATGTAAAAACATTAATTTACAAATTAATAGTGTAATAATTTATTATCAAGTTAGCTGTTTTTGTCCAGAAGAGTAATACTTCCATCTTCCATATACCTACATACATACACATGCATTCAGTAAAGAGTAATAATATGAAACTACTGGCTTTAATAATTTATAATTATAATAATTACATTTGGTTTATTACTCTATAATGGGGAGGCATAGTGCAGAAATTCTAACTTTCATTGCCTACACCAATATGTAAACTGAAAGACAATTATACTTAAATATTTGTACTTTTTCTTGATCTAAACTGCTAAACTGTTTACATTAGGAAAAAGTTTACATAAAATGCATTCCAGGTGGGAAAAACATATTGCGATAGAAAAATTTGCATACAACAAATGCATATATTAAAAAAAAAAAACTTGACAAAATCAGTAAAATAACATTGGAAAAATGAACAACGTTGAGCTTCAGATTTGAGCATCATTAATATAGACAATCATTTTTCAGAGAGAAGAAAATCTATTTTTGTGTTGATTTTGGGAATAGGAGATTTTGGAGTACTTCAAAACAAGCAAGAAAATTGCTTGTTTGCTGGTAGAAAATACTACAGTACTTTGAAAGTCTCTTTGAATGTCCAGTTCCTCCTGTGTATCGGCATTATCTACTTTTTTTTGAAATTACCTCCTTCCAGTGAATCTTTTTTAGAACAAATAACTCTGTTCTATCTCCCCACTGTGTATACTTGAATTGTTTTATAGTTCCCAACACATAGATGTAGCAAACCAATCTTCCAATACATTGCCTCATTTATATACCGGTAGTGATTTAATACTAAGTTCAGAATTTATTAATATAAGCTTACCTTGTCTCCCAGGAAAAATTAGAAAAATTATTAAGCTTCAAAAAGTTGATATTGCCCATTTTTAAGATCTTTGCCTTTGAAGAAATATAGAAAAAAAATCTGGATGATTTAACATCCTGAAATAGTAATTTCTGTATTACAGAATATTGTTTGTCTAATGAGACATAAAACAGATATAGAAACTATTCCTTAAACTGAGAGTTAGTTTCTGCTGAGTAGTCTTTTTATTGTTTCCAATATTTATGGTTTTACAAAAGGAAGAAAAATGTGAAGATTATAAGAATCTCAGTAGTTTAAATGAGAATAAACTAGATAAGATAGAATTGGACTGATAAACAGCTCATGTAAAAGTGAATTCATTTATTTGTTTATTTATATAATATAATCAATTCGTCTACAATACCTTTTTTCAAATAAAAAACACTACTTCTACAGGTAGCCCAATTATTGGTCATTTAATGGCCATACAGAGTTACAGCAGCCTTCAAAAGGGTGCTTTATGGCCCATAAAACACTTCTGGACATTGTGAAATGTGGTGTCCTCATAGTCAAATGACATCATTTTGGCCACTTGGCAACCCATTCACATTTATAATTGCTTGCAGTGTCCCATGGTCATGCAACCCGACTTGCAACTTTTTTGCCAGTTTCCTGTGTTTTTTGCCAGTTGACATAGGTTAGCACTTAGACTGCATGATTTGCTTGACAACTATGTGATTTGGACTTTTGACTGTTGTAAAAATGGTCACACAATTGAGTCCGATCACATGGATGCCTTAACTTACAATCATCATTCTGGTTCCAGCTGTGATTGTAATCATGGATCTCAGTGTGAAATGTAGTGCAGGAATGGGCCGGATGAAAAATATATTAGAAGATGGGATAGTTGCAGCTTTAACTGGAACTTGAACAAAGAATATCATTGCTTAAAAGTTATCACAGCCTCAAAAAAAGTGATTTACAACCTTTCTTCACACTTCATGGAATTGCAATTTAGGCACTTGGGAACCAGCTCACATTTACAATCAGTTGCATCGTCCTGCAGTCACATTGTTACAATTTGCATTCTTCCCAGCTAGTTTCTGATGGAAAATTGGGGAAGCTGGCTTGCTTCACCACTTTGCTTGTTTGTTTGTTTGTTTGTTTATATCCTGCCTTTAAACAATTCAAGGTGACAAACATATCCAATACACCTTCCTCTTCCTATTTTCCCCACAACAACCACTTTGTGAGGGCGGTTAGGTTTAGAGAGAGTGACTGGCCAAGATTCATCCAGCTGGCAACAAATAGGGTAAAAATGGTTGTAAAATTGGGTTCATTCAACATGATGACCTGCTTTATGACTGCATTGATTTACTATAAAATTCTGGTTCCAATTGTGGTAGTGAGTTGAGTACTGCCTATACATTATTACAAAGTGGAAACCATCAAATAATCATCATATGGTTGCAAAACCCACAAAGCTACTGTGCATTCAATCTACTGAGTTTTTTTCAGCTTTTATTGATATGAGAGTTTTAAAGGTAGGTGTGTCTGCTTTCCATTGGTTATCTGTTTGCAATAGGTTCTGTGATTGTAACCTGCCTCTCTCTTGACCTTCCATATTGAGCATCAATGTCTTGTTGATTTCCATATACTGAACCATTGAACAAGATCTCATCTGCTGTTAGGAAAAAGAACATGTTGGTTTTCCAAATTTCATCAATCAAATTAATACAAAACTTCAAAGAGCTATTTTGGGATTTCAGATTGCCCACAACAACTAATGTGTAACCTGCCTAGGTAACTTAGTTAGGCACAGTAAAGCTCCACATTAACTAAATGTACATTTTGTCTATTTAAAGCTGCTAATTAAGTATAATGAGATGTGGCCTAGTGGTTAAGACCTGGGCTTGTCGATGGGAAGGTTGGCAATTCGAGATGCAAATACTATGTGATGGGGTAAGCTCCTGTTCTTGCCCCAGTGCCTGCCAACCTAGCAGATTGAAAGCATGGCAATGCAGGTACACGGCATTGGTTTCTTAATCTGGGCTATCCTAGAGGGCTGACAGTTGAGAATGAGTGTTCAATTGAGTGGATGTTCTGTCATTTACTAGGTGCATGACAGCAATAAGTTTGAGAAACACAGCTGTAACACTATTCAAACTTTCTGAAAGGGAGTCCCATTAAGTACAAGATGATTAACTTTTATTAAACATAGAATAGTTTTGTCCTTTATACATTTGTGAGTGAGGCAATTTTCCTATGACTTTCAGGGCATTTCCATTTTTCTTAAAAATGAAAACATATTAAATAAACAGTTTGAAATGTTTAAAAATGTTTAAATGTTATATTTTAAATTTGAAGCATATTACCAGCCCTCAGTTATTATTAATAGGTATTAAATTGTGCATCTTGTTTCTTTTATTTGTGATAGAGAAATTATTCCGTAAAATTTTTATAACTATTTCAATATGACAACTTTGTATTCTCTTAACTGCTACCTATGCAAATAAGAAGTAGAAGTTAGACTTCCTTGTATAATAAACTGCCTTATTCCACATCAAGTTGTTGGTATTATTGTTGCTTGAAACATGACTTGAGTCTTTGAGTTGTCTTTATCATAGTATCTGCACAGACTATTTTATCTCCCTGGATATTGCAAAAATATATTGGTAACTTTTTAAGTATGACAGATTAACAAAAACATATTTTGTATGCTTAAAATAGATGGTTGCATTTTAGCAATAAAAACCCACAACAAGTATTTTTCTTAGACTTTGAATCCAATTCACTGAGGTTTTACTGAGGTGATATGTAAGTTAAATGTGGATTTATACTTCCTTTCTGCAAAAAGCATCAAAGTGTAGAGCAACCAATTAAATAATGAGCTGCTAAAGTAGCTTTTAAAAGCTAGATTTAGAAAAGCAGATTAATATGTTTTGTAAAATCTGCAAAATATTGGTAATTATAACATTAAAATATACAAACACTGACATGGGCGGTATATAAATTTAATAAATACATAAATCATAACTTAAAAATGCTCTCCACGGTTTGCTATTTGTGCATTTAAAGCTATTTCACGCACACCCAGCAAATCAGTCTTTGCAAGTAATAAGACAGATATAAAACGAGACTTTTAATCTGTTTATCACAAGCATGAACTTAGAAGAACTCAGAACATTTGCAGGCCATCCTGGCAAATTAGTCCATTGGATCATGAAGAATTGCAACTGCACAACACCAATCATATCTTAGATAGGAGAGTTCTTAAGCCATTCAGGGATTGGACCTTTGAAGTCAGATCAACAGTTTGATTTGAGATCAGATGAATAATTAGCACATAGTGCATCTCTTCCAACATGGATATTTCAAAGGAGGTTCATTTGCTTCTGAAGCAGATTCAGTTTTCTAGTCTAAGTACTTGACCAGCATCACCTCCATCTTGTCTGTCTATAATCTCAGATTGTTTCATCCACATTCAGCCAGTTGTCAAGTTCAAGGTGATGATTTGTTTCCTTAGTATTGAATGACAAAAAACCATCTGTTAGTGATACTGTTTTCCAAAATTCTAAAATGACCTATTTTAACTGTTTCATATACCTAATAAATAGTATAGAAAATAAAACATCATAGTTTCAAATAAGTATTTAATAAACAACATCTTTTAGATATGACCAAACTCAGTGCATTTCAAAAACTAGCAAGAAAATACCATGATCAGTGGTAATAAAAGCATATTATTAACTGGGAGTCTAATTTGAAATATGTTCAGAATAGATGAAAGCCCAGTTCCACCTTTACACATCTAGAGTAGTAATGCTACCGATACTCCATTTTTGTATTTTTCTATTCATGTATTAATGGTATTCATAACAGGAGGTGCCAACTTTTTTTTTTAACATTGTACCTTGAGATCCAGTATTGAGGTTCTATAGAATTGGGTATTATTTATATCAGATATTTTACTTTTAACATTTTCTTCCAGCCCATTTGCTTATGTGGATCCCTTACATTGTAACATGGCCTATTTGTACCTTGAACTACTCAAAGACTCCCTCAACGAGTATGCATATGCAGCAGAACTAGCTGACTTGAACTATGGTCTCCAAAATACCATCTATGGGATGTATGTAAGTACCAACATCAAGAAGACTCTTAAGAGTCTTAAATTTACTTCCAGGAATCAAGAAACAATTTGATTTGCTGGAAGCATTTTAAAAATGATTTTCCCAATTGTGGATCTAATTTTAAAGTTCCTTTTTCAACCTTGATTTCTAATTTCTCATAATTTGGATTTTACATGAACTATTCTTAGTCTTCAAGATTTCCATTCATATTTAGATTTTTTTCATTTCATTTTATATCATTCATTAAATTAATGAAATTAAATGAAATATAGCCCAAATTGGAGTTCAGGTTCTACTTCTTTCTTCCAGAAATTAAATCATTAATCTTATTGAGGAAACAATTTCCTTACTTTACATTAGTATTTCATTCCCAGAAATATTGGTTATGAGGCTGCATATACATACTCTTCAGTCATGTTTCTTCATCCATTATCATGTCACGAAGTATCAAAGCATCCTTTTTTTCTTTTTGTTAGTCGCTACCTTTATGTTGACCCACTCCATTGCAACATGACATACCTATTAATGAGGTTGTTGAAGGATGATTTAAAAGAGTATACATATGCAGCACGCCTCTCAGGTTTGAGCTATTTCATTGCATCAGCAATGAATGCAATACTTGTAAGTAAGATGGAGGAGCAGAAAGAAGTGAGATGGCTTGAGAGTTATGCACTTGGAAAATGCTTGCTTTTTCAATATTTTTTTTGCATAACAGTTACCAGTTCTGTATCCTCTTGCATCTCTCTTGTCTGGAAGTGTCTGGAAAAAGATGCTTGGAGTGCTTTTTTGTGACCATATAGTGCTTTGAAATACATTTGTAATTTGCATCTTTATTTAATATCCTGGAAAATATTACTTTGACTTTTTTAGACTTATCAGTCTTTTAGATACTTTACACTAAAAATAGTGGTGTTAGTCTAACATGTTTATTGAGACATGAGCTTTTGCAGGATAGAGTCTACTGTGTTAACCATTCACTGAACTAAATACCACTAACTGCATTATTGACTGTAGAAAAATTGCTTGTTAGGGTCAATTTGAGTATTATAAATTGAGCTTATTTATTTTTACAAATAACAATTTCTTGTATCATCAATTCCTGAAATTTTTGGTCAAATATAAAATATCTATTTTGTTTAACATTTTAATTGTCACTTTGAAATGTTTAACGTTATTTGAAGATAAGATGTTTCAAAAGAAATGTATATTGTATAAATATTGTATAATATGGAGTGTTACAAATTGAGTAAAAAATTGGGTTCTCTTTGAGCTTAGTTATTTTCTTGCAGAAATTTTATTACCTGGCTAAGAAGCAGTGCAAAGAACAATGGAGTATGCTGGTTGTTTGTAGCTTGCCCAGGCACTTTTGCTGGGGTGTGTGATTTTTTTTTCTTTTATGGTTTCTTGAATAGGATATTGTTTCCTCCATGATTGTTTATGTGGTGCTGTTTTTTTCTTATTTGTGTGTTGGTTGCTAGATGGCATGTCTTCTAGGCTACTAGTGTCTATTGAAGGCTGATGTGGCTGAATATTTAGCTTCCAAGATTACCTTTATTAAAGAACAATCAAGGTGGAAACATCCACCACAGGCAGGGCAAGATACAATATACACAGCCAGCAAACCTGCCTGCCTCTGGTGGTGTTCCCTAGCCTGGCAATGAAATATCTGCAAGAAAAAAAACAAACACCTCAGCACCAAAAAACTAACAATTTGACTTTAAGCCTCTTCTGTTGCAACTAAAATACAATTTAAACATCTTAGTTTCAATTTAAACTTGAAGTACTGTACCTAATAAGGCAACCTGCATGCTAAACTACTTTGCTTCAGCAATGTTACTGTATCTTTATATTTTTGGATCACAAACTGGGATCAACAAAGATGAAATAGGTTCTTAATTCATCTACCATGACATTTTCATTTTTCTTGTATCATAAATATTCATTTTAAAATGCTACATTCAAAATTGTGTTCTACTAAAAGATGTACTTCAGTATTTATGCTTAATTATTTCTGTATTACAATATAACAGCGGATGTCCAACATACTAGAAGAAGGAAACATCCATTCTTCACTTATGTATGCAAACACTGCATTATTCAGAAAGATTAATAATGATAATATATATTATTAACATAACTTTAAATGACAGTGTTAAAACATTTATATGGTTTGCAATTAACCACTTTATGAAGTACCGTAGTTTAGTAATCTGTCATATTCATGAATTAAATATTCTGATATTCTGCTTTACCTTAATAAGAACCTTGTGAACCAATGTTGGAAACATTGAGTGGAAAGTTTTTCTTCCATATTTTTCTGTAATAATAAGATCTTAAAGTACCTTTAGTCTTTATTTAAAGGGAAAAAAGCTAAGTTTGTTTACTCTTCCCTTAGACCATATCAACATCATTTTTTAAAAAGTACTGGTTTTTATCCTCACAAACCATTTGGATACCACTACATTAAACTTTGCTCTGTAACATGGTACAATATATTTTCCATTGTAATCTAAATCCCACTATGTTTAACATGACTGTTTAAGTTCAGAGAAAGAAAGAAAGAAAGAAAGAAAGAAAGAAAGAAAGAAAGAAAGA